AAATAAATATTCTACAAATAAATAAATGGTAATTGTAAATAATGTTTAGATCAATAACAAGGCATGTAAACGAAAACGATGATATATAACAATATTTTTAAAACTGCTTCATTAAAAACTGTACACATTCTTCGCATATTTATTTCTAATTTATTATTCAAATATGTGTTAAATATTTAATTTATGAATATATTGGATCTACCCAATAGTTTTGAATTTTTAATCAGTGCTAAGATTAAAAACAAAAATGAAATTTTTCAAAGTAAACCCATTTATTTTACATAAATTGGTAATTCATCAACATAAAATTTTTATTGTTAGAAATATTTTTACATTCTTATTTGAATAAATAAGTGAATAATTTATATTATAGTGCCAAAGTATTTTCGTTTAAATTTTACTTAAACGAAGATGCTTTCCTTCCTTTTAGGGGTCTTCTAAATTATGTATCTTGATTAAATAATTGATATTCCACACACTTATACTAAATTATACGTGTTTCATTATTTTATGTTCATAAATGTTAGTTTAAAAAATGATTAAATAAACTTTTGTACCACTCTTTCTTTTATTTGATAGGATTTTCTTTAAAAATGATCGATACTTATGAGTGATAACATGGGATAACCATTTGTATTTTTGAACTATAATAAAGATGGCCAACAGAAGAGTTTATAATTCAATACTACATGATACATGACAATGCCACGATTTAGAATAAAACAAATTTATAGTTTTGTTTCTTTTATTTATTTATTTTAATTCATTTGTTCGTGCCATTTATTCACGAGTTCATAATTAAAGAATAAAAAATAAATTCTATAAATTTAACTTTTATTTAAATACTATATTATTTTTTACTCGTTTTAAGATTTACTTACAAAATTAATAATCAATAATGATAATTAAATAAGACTCCATTATGATCCTTTATTTATTTACTTTCATTAATTTTGAATAGCAATTTCCTTAACTTTCCTGAGTAAGTGAAATATCACTACATAACTATTGTATGCTTAGAAAGGGTGATTAAGAGTTAATTATATTGTAGTTAGCTGTCAAAATTTAGATTAAGCGATACAATTCCATGGCAAATATGCAACGAAATATTATCATTTCTATCAGATGAATCAATGATATAAACAAATTATGAACTTTCCATATTAGTTTATAAATGACGTAAAAACGAATTATAAAAAAGATATACGAGATAAAGACGAATGCCATATTGTTAAAACTTTATATGCTTCGTGGTTTACCATGTAAGTTCTATCTAATGTATTATAATGCTCTGATTACTTAAACAGAACTTTTGAATACGATTTCCTATTTAGCCGAAAGCTATTCCGGAGTAGACTGGACGAGGAAAAGTTGAAAGTCAATTTCTACATTATATAGAAGTATTCTAAGATCAGGGTCGGATTTACACAAAAGCTAAATAAACTATAGCTTAGGGCCTCGAGCTACGAGACTAGAGCAGGAGTCGCGATTCTTTTTGGATGTGTATCAAAGTAGGCATATTTGATTTTTTTTTTAAATGTAGCCTATTGCCTGTTGAAATTTTTAGTTCAATAAGCAATTTTTAAAGAAATAAAATGAATATGCTTTAACTAGAATGAATTTTAAAAATTCAAAATAAATTAAACTGAATATGAAACTGAAATTAATATAAAATGAAACGAGCAATTACTTATTGTGCATCGTCACAATGCCGGAATGCAATTTTTAATAATAAAAATGCTCTCCTTCTCAAATTAGTAGTGACTTGTCCCTGTATATCATACTTTTCCTTTAACAACAGAGTGGTGCCAGTCATCTAACACCTTTCAGGGAAAAGTTTTTAAATTGAAATAACATGACTTCCGTTTACATCGAAAGTTCGTATATTCGAGGCCTTCTACCCCTAAGGTTTCCATATCTGGTCTCATCTTTCATCTATGTAACTCGATTAAGGAAAGACAGACGGAATTTATAGGTCTATAATTTTTTCAATTGCAGCCCAATTAAATCATATAATTTCAATGTCATTTACTTTAAATTTATTTTAAAGTACAGTGGATCTCTGTTATTCTCTCATAGGAAAATCCAACGACGAGTTGCGTAACTTTCCTGGCAAAAAAATTTAAAATTGTGGTGGCGCCATCTGTTATGTTATTTAAAAACTTTTTATATTATTGATTATTATAAAATGGCCAAAAGCTTAATTTTCAAAGTAGAGAAGAATTTTATAAAAAAAAAATTGTAAATGCTCATGAGTAAAATCTTCATTGTCATTAAATCACTCGAAATGTGACACACAACCCCTATATCTCCCCACTCCCTTGACCTTTAATCAAAATTTAATAGCATCAATCCCCTAATTCACAACATCACTGCAAAATTTCGGAAATTTTCGATAAAAGGCACAGGAATTATTAAGCTCAAAGTGGAAGAACAAAATCGTGCCCCCGTACACATACATCCATACATCGAGGGAAAATACCCCGAAGTTTTTCTATTTTTCGACATTTATAGGTCCCCAGTCCAAAAGTGTAAACATTTTGTGAGATCATTTTTGATTGATCGCCATACTTCCCTCTGTTATATATAACAGCTGGAAAAGTAAAAGTATTGGTTGACATAACATTAAAATTCACATAACGTGATGTTTTATGCGACTGTGTGCACTGCTAAGAGGTTGTGGGTTTTTCTCGCTCACAGGTTGCTAAAAATAGGGATTTACAGTCTTGTTATTATAAATTTATTTTTATCACTTTAACTAGCACAATTTATTTTAAAAAATAAGGCTACGGTGGCACTTTAAGAAATTATACAAATGGTATCTCAACTTTTTTCATCATTAGCCAATTTACAAATAAAATGAAAGTTTTCAATTAAACATCAATTAACATTAATTAATTAAACGTGACAGGACGAAAAATTGTAAGGATTGTATGTTCCCGAAGTGTGTAAAGGACATTATGAAAGAAAGAAGACACTTATGTGGTACTTCTATGTATTAGAATTTTGTAATATAAAAGTATACATAATGTCACTGGAATTTGCACCAACAGCGGGTTCACTTTATTTCATATTGAAGAGTAATAATGATAGAGCATGCTATTACAATACTTATACAGTACATTCTATTTTGATACGTGCTTCTAGTCCTTAATTACTTATTATACTTTTGTCCATTTTGTAAACTAGGACTTGTTATATAAAGGGAAGAGAATTAAGTTTAATGTAACGTAATTCTCTTCCCTTAGTATAACAAGTCCTAGTTCACAAGTATGTCCAAAATGGACTAAAGTATAATATAGTATATTCTATTATTCATAATTAATAATTGTTATTCTGAACGTTATAATTTGTATGTCAGACAAATTATTCCGTTGTGCTACTTTGAGCATGTATGACATCAGTTCTCCATCTCTGGCTTAGAATCTCTGGCTTTTTTAAATTTATTGTTATTATTGTTTACTGTTATTATTTAGTTGTAGGATAAGACCTTTCATAACTTAATCTTAACAAGTGTAATTTCAATTATATCTAGAATCGCATTACTGGTATACATTTTACTCACTTAGTTCCTTTTGCTATTTAAGTTATCCCTTATCTAAAAATGAGATAACTTTCTGGTCTAAATACTATCTTGTCATTCATTGGGCCAGGAATATATCAGTCATTTCCCAATTTATCCGATATTCTGGGTTTTACGTAATATACTTCTATCAGTTCCATTTAACAATTTTATCGACCCACTATCTAGGGAATAAACTGTCATTTTAGCCAAAAAAATATATATATATCCTCAGGCTAGAAAACCATTCAGTAATTGTATCCGATGAAGATAAGTGCATTTGCTATCATGAAAATTTTAAAACCTTTTCCAATAAGCAGGTGTCAAAAGACCTTTCTTCACGTCCATCATTGACGGTCGGATAGTGAGGCACGCGGCCCAACAAATCCAGATTAAACCATTCAAAAATTATTGAAGATCTGATCCAAACGCAAAATCGAGACTCAAGAGCGATGGACTGATGCCTATATCTCGACCTGCCATCTCATTTTCATCCAAAGTATTCTGGAATCCCACTGAGCACATTTAGCCTAATTGAATCACTGGGAGTACAGTATAAAAATTTATAAATAATTTTCTATCTACGAAACGAAGCCGTTTTCTGGATGCCTAGTTTCGAGCTAAGTAAACAACTCGAACACAGGAGATGCCATGTGGTACGAACAGTGGAACTATTCATTAAACAAGTTCATACAATGTGGCATTCTCAAAATGTTCATGTTGCTACCCACATAAATCGAGACTAGGTATTGACTGGAAAATCATTCAGTTAAGTGTATGTTCAGTAATAGTTAAGAACCATTTTCTCTATTATCCAGAGGTATTCAATATTACATTGCTGACACTCCTTTCGCATTTATAGTTGTATACATAGTTGTACTACTTAGCAAACGATCTCCTATTTACAGAATAAAAACCTTTTATTCTTTTCTATATCCTGATTCAATCTGAAGAAAGTAGTTTTCTGGCCAGAGATGTATCCTCTATCATTAAACAAAAACACTTAAGTGATGAAATAGAACATCTACAAGTACCAAATGAGAACCAGAAATGTAATCTCAGAACAACTTAGATAATTTGAGACATGCTTCTTATATAGACACGAAATACTTATCGTAAGATTTTCAAGCTTGGAAAGTTTTTATTTGCCTAGATTAAAAGTTGGCGATTTTTCAAAATTTCAATAGAAATCAAATTATGAAGAACCGCAAGAAATGAAAAACAAGTTTTAAATACGCTATAACGGTAGTTAATTACATATACATTAATGAAAAAGTAATAACTATTATAGTGATCATTTTAAAAAAAAACAAAAATGGAAAAAAAATTGGATGATCTCGTCGTTCAATAAAAATTTAATAAACATTGTAAATAAAATACGTATAATAATTAAACGATGGAATTTAATCATTACACATATTTAATTTAAAACATCTTACGTGTTTTTCTTGCTGATATGCAGGGAAGTCAAACTTCGATATTTCCCGTCTAGGTCTGAAGTCAATTATGCTAATTTTAGGTAACATATTTTCCCCATATTTTAGTGTTTACTATATATTTCTCCATCTCCTTCGTTTTTTCTAGCATGTCAACAGCATTTAGGCGACTGATTGGCAGAGTTGTTACTATCAAACAAGATTTAAACTACCAATCAAAGTTTGAGTTTATGTATTCCTTTAATATTTGAATTTTTTACAGTATAATTAGATTGTTAAAAATTGTGCAACCGTTTATTCAGGTCTGGGTTTATTCAAATTTATCTTTTATATTTAAACAATTTAAATACATCAACTATCATACTTCAGACAGTTTTATTCGGTGTCCTGCTGATTCCATTTCATGCGATTACAGACAAGGGAATTCGCATACTACTATGGATGGAAAAATCATTTTCTGTCAGTCATACCAAAAAATTAAGTAGAACAGGCGGGCTGGTCGCATTTAGAATTTTTGTGAATAAAATTTCAGTTAAAGAAATTATGAACATTTTTTATGTCTCCAAAGTATAAGAAGTTGTAGAAAAACAAAAATAAACAAAGCGATGAAGAATGTAACAACTTTCCCCATATCGGGGCAGATTGTTATTTTCCTTGGGTACTTGACTGTGATGATGATATATAAATGATTGAACATTAAAATCATCTATCATCATCACAGTCAAGTTATCCAAGGCGTATGTAAGTTGCATTTCCTTCAGTACACACTTCGTGTGATCAGTTTAAATAAACCATGCACTGCAACCATTTTTCTCGCGACTTTGAGTTGGAATACAGTTCGGAATGCACAAGACAGAATTCGTCAGTAGAACTTGTCTCAGGGAACTTCTCATCATTCATTATCAGCCTTCTTCACCTTTTCTATCCATTCTAACAGTTTTTCGTTTGTAACTATACTGTACATGTTTGTTACCTTTGACCTGGAAAATATCGTTTGTAATCAGAAGATTATTTGTTATTAGAACTGCGTTTACACACTTAAAGTAGTCTAAGTTATATGAACAAACATTTGTTTTTAATTTTGCTAGAATAATTTAACAATAATCAAGAATCAATAATAAGAAATAATTTATCATATTAATCAAAAATGTTAATAGTGTTTCTGTAAAGTACATTTCTTGGTTTTGAAAAGTTGCTTTAATACTCTCTGCGTATGGACATTAGAGGAGACAAGTTGTTACAGTGTAACATAACATGCCTTAACTGTACACTTTCAACCGTCCACAACCTACACTTTGCCATTCTATGCACACTATTAAACTAATAGATCACCGGCAAGTAAATAAGTATAAAAACAAAAAATCGAGTTTATCTCACTAACCCACTCAACTAGAAGCAGCCGAGTTAGATTATCCCATGATAAGGAAACTATGGCAGGAAAAAGACATTGCTGCGCTCTTTCACCGATTTTAAAAAGCGTTTGTAACAAACCCGTCCAAGTAACGATCAGTCCCAGTCTCTTTTACTTTGAATATGTTACTTCTCATTATTTATCTATCAATTTAGCTATCGATGAAAGTTTAAAATTAAATAAAATTTTCAAAATTCACAAAAAGAGAAGAAAAACTAAAATAAGTGTTTTAACATTTTGTCCTTTTTTACACCCAGGACCATAACAGTCTCAGTGGAATCACCTTTACCTTGAGGGTCTCGTCACCTCAAAATGCAAAATAACTTAAAAAATTTTTTCTAGCGATGGCACAATTATAAAAAAAATATATTGTTGATAAAAAAGGACGATAAGTATACTTTAAAAAGGACGAAATGTAAAGACACTTTTATCTTATTATTTCTTATATTTTTGTGAATATTTTAAAATATAGTTATCGTCCTAGCTTTTTATCAATATATAATAATTTATTGATAACACCAACTATTTCTGATAATTTGTTGGCTCCCCATTTTTTAATAAAACCTTTTATGTATTTATTTAAACAGTGAATTTTCATTCAAAAATATAGAATTGTGTCAGAACTTTTCAGAATTATAGCGTTAGTAGTATATATATATATATATATATATATTATTTATTCTGTCAGAAGTTTTCAATATTTTTGCATCATAATGTAAATTCTTCTATTGTTTATTGTTTATTAGTTTGTTGTGTTCATTAAATTAAATGTAAAAATCAAAGAGTAGAAATAAAATAAATATTTAATCGACCAAGTAGCATAAGAATCAGAGTATCTGGACAATCTTCTCATCTTTAATTCTTTGTTAGGGATTAGGACAATGAACTTTTACATATCTAGATATGGGATAATGGAAATGAGATGATTTATTTGAAGAAAATAATAATAGTAAATTTATATTATAAACTGGTAAACATTGTCTGTATGCTTTATTGAGAAAAGTTTTCATGAATAATTTTCCTGTGGTGCATACTTATTTACTAACTAATAGATATTGATAAAAGTGAAAAATAATCTTTTAGATGTTTTGCATAGAATAAGGAATGTTCAGAATATAAAAATGCCTGTTAGTAAATAGGTGATGTTATTTAAGTTAATGAAAATGAGGAAACTGAGGCAGTTATCCAGAGAGAACAGAGAAAAAGATATGTATTATCTAAATTACCTATTGTACTGTACATCTAATTTATTTATTATTTTGCAAATATTATAAATGTCTATAAGGGCACTTAATAAATGGATTTTTATTAAAAAAAATATTGTTTTTAAAAGAAAAATTTCATTAAACAAGACATAGACATATATATAACTGTTGTTTTATGTTGTAAATACTGTAGTTTGATTTCAGAGTTATAGAAAAAAGAAGCAGATAATTAATTAATTAATCCAGTTTTACGTAGTACAGTACGTATTTAGTAAAAGATAAATAGAACTTTTAAAAAATTGATTTTTAATAAAATGTCCTGTCGTCTATCCGTCTGTTCTTCCTTAATCTCGAGAACGATGCTAGATAGATGACCAGATATGTAAAGCTTATGGGCAGGATGCCCCGATTAACTATATACGAACTTTCGATCTAAAGCGAAAGTCATATGATTTCAATTCAAAAATTTGCCCCAAAATCGAGTTATGTAGATGATCTTTATGACTCTTGTTATCAGGAAAAGTATGACGTACAGTACAGGGGCAAAACACTACTAATTTGAGATCGAGAGCATAAGATTTATTTTAAATTAAATAAATTAAAACTATGTATCACGATAGAATTGAGGCGGAGCCGGAAAGAAAGAATCGATTCTTGCATCTATTAGGGATAGGAGAGGCGATCCTTATACCCCACGAATGCGGATAGGTGAACTTTGCACTTTCCGCCATAAAAGATGCTATCCTTGTACCTTCCACAATGGGAACACGATTCTTGCACTTTCCGACACGGAGAGGCAATACAAGAACAAAGCAATCACCATCGATTGCTTTGTTCTTGTTTCGTTCGTTTTTCGCGCCTATTTACCGTTAGGTGCACGTAATGCTGTTTCTATTTTTGACACCTAGGCCTAAATTCCGTTAGGCATGCTCAGTCGTATCAGAGAGCACGGACATTGTCACTTTAATACGTCTATATCAAAAACGAAATCATTTTTTATTACATTTTTGGATTCCTCATCGCAATTAATGGAAAATGGTAAAGTTTAATCAGAATCTATTGAACAGATTTTGAGAGCGAACACAATTCTGTAAGCCACATAGAAGAAGATTCGTTAAAGCTCCGCCTCAAATATAATTAAAAATTGCAGGCGGCATTGTGACGATGTTACAATAATTTTAATAATCTTTATTACAGATTGTAATATAACTTAACATTTGAAACAAGGATGTGGTGTCAATATACAAAACCACTAATAAAAACTCTGGATTTTCAATTTTTAAATCTCGGATTCCAATTTTTTCATAAAAACTTAATATGTATTAATCATAAATCTGCTAAAATGTCAAACAGTAAGATAAGCCATTTCATCACTGGCATATAATTTCCCCCCCCCAAAAAACTGTACAAAGGAATACAAATCTTAAAAATTATCTAAAAATAGTTACCAATCCAAATGAATCTGTGGCAGTGGAGGACTGACCCACCAGGAAATTCAAAGTTTTGTAATGGACTGTTTGTTTGGTGACAATTTAATTAATTTAATTAATTAAGAGAAATATAACATATTAAAATGGAAGAATAAAATAATAAACAAAATACAAGCTTGTCTGTCCATTATATTAAATTTAAAAAAAAATTTATTCTAATTTTTGCCATAGGCCATTATGGTACAAATACTGATGTCCAGCTCACAACAAACACTGTCTGTTCAGAAATGCTTACCATTTAATTGCTGAGATCAGGTATCATTCAAAAATGTTACCTACAAGTTTCCAGTGATTTACCAGTTGCTACCAAACTTAACAATCTTTGAAGGTGCAAATATTTTTGGCTTCATTTTGAGGCTTTCTGCAAGTAAAAAGCCATTCCATTTATCAGACATTCGAAATAAACATTGTTGGAATAAGTAAGAAAGGTGTTGTTTTGTGCATATCAATGTTAATTGAAAGTTCCAGTTTATTGATTAACCCTTTGAGGGTGACCAACCAACTACTGATGACATCATTCACTGACAAACTGACCAGTAAACATTTCCAAACATACCTTAAGTAAAAAAACACATGTAATAATAATGATCAATATTGGTTGCACAAGTAAAAAATTAAGGTATGCTGTGGAAAAATATACATTGGACTAAACTTTACTTCAGCATATTTGAATGTTCAACTGGACACAAAATCAGATTAATTGTCCAATTTTGGGTTTTATGAGTATTTTTTTCTTCTGGTTATGTTAGAGTTAAAATATTTATCTAAATTACTATGCTTTGTTTTAATTAGACAGTTGGATTCCCCTGGTCTGTGCCAGTATTTTTTACTATACAATAAGTGCTCATTGTTAATGAAAAAGTATTAAAAATTTATGATGATAATGCAATTTTTGTGGGCCTTGACACTTGGGTGCCCAGGGCTTAAGCCCTATTAGTCCCTAAGTAGATCTGCCTCTGCTAATGATTAAGATTGGATGGTGATTGAAATTAATAACTATACAGATATAAGATTTGTGTTATTTTCCTTATTTTCTATTTATGTCTTTTAGAACAGCTTATTAACACTAGGATTTATCAGCTTGGCCAAAAGAAGCATGCCTTAGAATAAGGCTTGCTTCACTTGACAAATATGTAGTAGACAAAAACACTATTGAATATAATTCCGTATGGATGTAAGTGCAGTGGACAAAAAGGCATTGTTGATCTTAATGATTGTGAATGAGAAAAGTAGATATATTGTCAGCAGAGAAAAAATTATAAATCTAAATATATAAAATTATTTGTCCTGACTGAGTGATTGACTGATTGATTCATCATCACCCAGAGCAAACCGCTGAACCTAGAGGTGAAATTTTGTACACAGTTAGGATATGTCATGAAAATGTACACTAAGAAGAGATTTTTTGAAATTTCCCCATGGGGTAGAGGGAAAAGATTAAGGCTTAACCTGAAGAACGGCTTCTGCTGTACTATTTTAGATACGATTTTTTGTTTTCAACTACATTTAGTCTTCATTGAGTACTTAGGTGTAACATTCCAGACATTGTTATAAATATTTTTATACACTTCAATTTTTTAACCAAATGTTCGAACTGTTTTAAATTCAAATTTGTTATTGCATATTGGTTCGATTATAGAANATGAATATACTTTTAAAGAAAATTATAATTAAATATAGCTTTGAAAAGAAACGTACATAAAAGTATAAAATATGCTTTACTTTTTAAATCTTAAAACAATGCACTTAGTCAAATAGCTTCCTATGAGTGGCTAATGGATGGAATCGAAGAGTATGCATACACGCGGACTGCCAAATCCCCTGGGTGCCGATACCAGTCAATGTCAAATACCTCTTTTGTCGCATCACTACTATATCTCAAAGGACGCAACAGGGTTGTTGTAGATTTTAAATGTTTCTCGCCTTAGCTGTAAAAATCTAAATATGTTAAAGTTAATAGATTGTCCCTCGTTTGTTTTCTAACTAATTCGTTTTAGGACCATGGAAATTTCCATAATTTACAACTTTTCTGTCACTCTGACATTTCACATTTACAGCTTTGAGAATTTTTCTTTGCCTTTTATAATTGTTCTGACTGACAATTCTGGTAGATCAAAATTCTTTGCCAATTCACAAATTTTCATTTTTGTATCGAAGTCTTTAATAATGGGTACATTCGTAAAGTCAAATGAGTTAAACACATTAGTAACGAATCGTTCAAAAAGTCTAACTAAATAGGAATAACGATGGCTTCATTCTCGTTTAACTTGTTCGACTTTATGAACGTACTCAATGTTAACTTTACATTCCAAAGATAAAGTTTTTCTTTTCTTATTTGATGTAGAAGAATTTGTTCTACTTTGTTTGGATGACATAGTAGAGTCTCTCAAGTCTCCGTAGATATAACAAACACAGAAATAAATAACACAAAATAAATTGTAGCTATGTGTGGATTCCGCACAACACATCNCTGTGAGAAAATAACAAAAAACTGCTTGTGACTTGTTTAGCTTGTATAAAAGAAAACCCATTGAAGAAGAAACTATTGTAATTTCCAAAATGTATTTAGGTGAAATAAAGTTGTTGATTGGATAGCATTTTTGGAGTCTGTGGATGTGATAATTCCTAGAAAATAATGATATTTGAACCGATTACATATTGAGATTTAAAAAAACAGAATAGAAAGCAAAAGAGATAAGTTACTTAAAATTATTAAAATAATTTTTACTTAAATTTTTGTATTATATATAAATTTAAATTAAAAACAGTATGATAATTTAATATTCCTTCTTATTACATAAATGAGTTTTTAAAAATTTAATAAAGTACATGTGTGATGTAAAGTAAGTTAATTGCACTTACATGTTATGGCATTACCAATGGTGAATTTGAAGTATAAATGAGTTCACAAGTACTTTTGATAGCATAAAACTAGCATTGTCAGGTGAATATCTCACCTTCACTGTTGGTACTTCAAATACTTTGAATACTTCAAATTCATCGTTGGTAACATCACAACACATACATTATACAGTAAAATGTAGGTGTGAAGTGTACATTACTTTTAATAAATTACATAACTGACTAAAGACCTTTTTAATTATTTAACACTTACATTATGAAAATATTTTCACTTATTAATGTTAGAAGCATTTATGAAAATTTTATATTTTACAGATATTTTGCATTATATCTTTACCAATCGTGAATAGCTTATTTTCAACAGCTGTTTTTTTTTTTATCAGATAACCATTATAATGCATGAAGAAAAACTCTGGAGGAGTTTGAAAATGTTTGCATTCGTTTTTTTGTTAGTTTTTTTTTCTGTTTCACACTGGTTATCAGTTCTGTGTACATTGTTAACTGTATGCTGATGTAGTGTGTTCTTATTTTTATTTTTCTTTAACTTAATCAAGTGAACAAAAAAATTATTAATGCATAGGTTAAAATATATTATACTAAATATAAAAATTCCTAATATTAAAAATTGAAGACCTTGAGACAAGAACAAGTTGACTCAATTTTTCAAATTTTTGGGAAAAATCACCTTAAAATTCCAACTGTTTACATGTAGGAAAGGTCATAAAAGATTACTTACATTACCACAATGATGATAAACCTATTCTGAAGGTGGGCCACAAGGAAACTTTATAGGCTTCCAGTGGGCCATATATCCTTATGGAGTTGCAGGCTTAACCTGCTGAGTACCAATGTACTCCATAACAGCTAGTACACTAAGTTCTAAAATATATGCAAACTAGTAATAGTTTATTCTCATCTTTTCACTTATCTATTTTAGTTTGAATGCTCTTTGTCATAAATATTGATTTAGAGTTTTATAATGGCACAAGATAGAAAACAGGAAAATAAAATTACATTGCAAACTCCGGAGTCCATATACCAGAACCTTGCAGGCTGCAGATTGCTCATGACTGCATTAGAGGTTGATAGACAATCCATGAAAAAGTTGGGTTATCAGTCTGGAAATCATATCTGTCCTGCATGTGTAGAATTAACAAAGAAATTGAGTTAAAGTGTTCTGACCCAAAGGTTTTCAGTTGTTTTGTTTACTTGATCTGGCCCAGATTAAACCTGTTATTAAACATTTTTGATCTGGGATAGAAGATAGAAGTTATGCTTAAATTCTAAGGATTATTTAAGTAAATTTATTCTGCTACTGAATTATTTTAGCATAAATTTCATCAATCCTTTTTAAAAAATAATTGTAACTTATCTCTAATAAACAGAATATACTGTGCATTTTATTAACACAATTAACAGCCAATCAATCACCAAACTTTTTCTCCAAATTCATAGCTTATTAGTATATTTTATTTATTTAAAAATGTTCATTAAATATTAATTAAACATTAAATTTATTTGTCTTTAAAAATGCTTCTGCAATTGCATTTATTGGCTGGCATTATTTTCAATTGTATCTGAAGAACTTTTTAACATTTTACTGTTTAAATTTCTTTAATTACCATAATTTCTTAAAAATAACATGTAGATTATCTGTGTTTAGGCTATATGGAAGAGAAGGCAATGATCTGAAAATAATTAAAAAAGAGAGAATATTGTCATTCTAAATTGACAGTTCCTCATCATTAGCAGTCTTTAAGAATTGGTTCACCAAACATCTCATTGTTATTGAGTATAACAAGCTGGAAAATGAAGTAAAGGAAAATGAGTTTCATCTTCTATCATAAAAACTCACTAAGTACCAGTACACAAGATAACAAATAAGACAACAATTTCATAATGCCAAATGATTGCTGGATTATATCAGGCTACATAAAAACATAAGGCTACTATTTAATAATTAAATATAACCTGAGATAGATCATTTGACCTAGAGGTAGATATTAGGCACCATCTCTTGTTAATTTTAATAATTATAATTAAAATAATATTTAACAATTAATGTAGAAAGTTCTGGAAGAATTGGCCTGGATCGGGACTCAAACCTACAACTCCTTCTTACTGTTCATTGTCAGTTATTCTACCTGGACCTCCATTCAATTTTCACCTCCAGAACTAAAATAATTTAGATATAACCATACTGGTTACTCATGGCACTGACTGAGGACAATTTATGAATCCACTTTAATAGGTCCTCCACACCATTCAGCTAGTTATCACTTTACCCCAACATGGTGTATATATACAAATAGATGTTTATATTTGTATATGTACACCATGCTAAGGTTAAAGTAATAGCTGGCTGAATGGCATGGAGGGCCTATTAAAATGGATGCTTCAGTTGTCTTCCTAGTTGCCACCATGAGTAACCAGCATGGTTATATCTAAATTATTAATAGTTCTAGAGGCCAAGGAGTCCAGGTTTCTTTAGACAAAGACTCAACATCAGTCAATTCTTCCTTAATATCAAGGATCATGTTAACAACAACCTAAGTAATTTCAATTCTTATTCATACAAATTCAAAAGCACAAACAATTACAAGATTTAGTGTCCAAGAGAGCAGCATGCACTACATTTTAATTATCCAACCTTGAGAACTACTGAGATAAAAATTAATATCCTTATAAATCAAAACAATCATAATTAGCTGTGCATGACTTGGCCCAGTACAATGACATCACCAAGGTGCTGCATAAACTTATTTTAAAATACTTTCACAGATAGCTGCAATTACAGCCAATAGCCCATTTCTGAAAATGAAATCGTGTATGTTCATATTGCTGGGTTATGTAACAACATTTGAATGAATGTTTGTAATGTTCCCAACAAAGGGATGCAATATGCAATATTTGTGTGATTACCATAATACTGTAATTGTTTTATTTATTATTTTTTAATTTTAATTATTATTTAGTTTTGGACTTCAATATTTCAATTACTATTAAAACTTAATCTCTTTGTAATTTCAACCTGATTACATATTATATCTCATACATTTAACTTTGGCTGCTCTAATATCAAGATAAGGAAATGACAAATAGATTTCAGAGTAATTATGCAAATGAAGATTCTGTGGCCTGTTTGATATTTGAAATTGATACGAAAAATCAAAAAATAATGATAATTAATTAGCTGTAAAAATACTAAGGAAGATAATAGAAAAAAATTAAATAAATATATCATATTTACAAAAACATTGCAAGTCAAGACTTTTTCATAAAATACAATTATTTAAATTTTAATATTAAATTCTACAATCAATATATATTATACAGTATATATATAATTTTAAAACAGAAAAATTAAGAATAATGTTTACCTGATTTAAAGCAATATACTGCTCCCTTAGCCCCTACGATGCAAGGCAGACCATACTCACGAGCAACAACAGCACCTAAATATTTTTAAAAGTTATTAGAACTTTTCATTAAATAAAATATTCTTGTTTATAATTAAAACTAACCATGTGATATTAAGCCTCCTAGTTCTGTCACAACTCCTGAAAGTAGAGGAAAATATGGTGTCCATCCAATATCTGTACTATATGTGATCAAAATATCTCCAGGCTACATGTTTAAAAAACAGGAAATTCATTCTAAGTCAGTTAAATGTCTGTAAAATTTACAATAAAATTTTAAATCTTGTTTACTGAAATAATACAAGAGTGAAGCTAGTTAGAATGCAAGTAGATTGAAACATGACTTAGTGAAATTTGACTAATTAATTAAATTTTAAAGGCAAAGAGCAACAATTGATCTAAATTGATGAATTGAAAAAGTAAAAATGCAATCTAAAAACCTTGAAAATGTTTTTTAAAAGATTTTTTATTTCTTTATATCCCTTAAAAAGTCAAAAATTTTATTAAAAAAAAACATTTTTAAGATTTCTTGTATNATGTATGTGATTTTATTGTGTTTGTCAATGAGTGTGATGTCTGGTCTGTTGTGGTAAATTGTTTTATCTGTGATTATGGCTTTGTCGTAGTACATTTTGTGCGTTGTTTTCCAATACAGTCTGTGGAAAGTATGGTTTGCGAATGTCTACCAATTTGTGTTTCTTTGCAAGCTCTTGGTGTATTATATTTGCTACTTGATTGTGTCTATGTTAGTAATCTGTCTGTGCCAAGAGTTTGCAACCAGAAGTGATGTGTTGTATAGATTCTGGCATGATGTGACATTTTCTGTATGTGTCATTTGTGAGTGTTGTATCTTTGAGTATGTTTTTTCTGTAGTTTTTAGTATTTATGACCTGATCCTGTATGGCAATCATAAATCCTTCCGTCTCCCAAAGAGGCATCCCCGATCTAACCAGCTGTTTGACACAGTTTTGTCAACAAAATCTTGCGCCAGGTTGTAAGGATGCCTGCCATGGAGTGCCTTTCGAGCCCATGATTGCTTAANTCTTTGGCTATGTCTTCGGCTACTCAAATATTTTACGTTTTTGATACTAAATTAACTTCTGAAGTATAATTTTTTATTGTTTTTATATTTTTCAATATATTTATTTTGTTTGTACAAAATAAAAACTAATTTTTAACGATAGTCTTCGTTAAAGCCTAACGAATAGTCTTCATTAGGCTTAACATCGACAAAAATTCAACGTGAAGCGACACACAACGGAGAAAAATTCAACATGGGATAAATTAATATATTTTTTCGTACATAATTGGTTATCCGAAAAATAAGTTATCTGAATAACCCCAGTCCCCAATTGATTCGGATAAACGATGCTCTACTGTATTCTAAAAAACTCTACAAGTTAAAAAGAATTTAATCTAATGACTTCTCACAACACAACTTCCATAAAAAGATTAAAGAAATTTCAATTACAATTTTAGTAAACATAGTTGTGCACTCTACTTTTAGGTTACATCATTAGATCTAACCTAAAAGTAGAGTGCATTGTATGCATCAATGTGTTTATGTTATGGATCCAAATTAAATTTATGAGGATCAGTTAAAAAATATCAAACCAACATATGGCACTAAGGTAACCAAATTTCCTATACTGTTTATTACTGCAATTCATTCTAATATCAAGTATAATAGTAGTCCTATTCTGTTAATTAGTATTTGTTTTGCAGTTCATCAAAGTAGACATCTAAAGTGATTTCATAAACAATGAAAAAAACAAGTTGCAAGCAGTGATAAATTACTTTCATTTGAAAGGTTTAACACCAATTAAAATCAAAATCAGAGTTGGATTTGACATTTTCAGTCTGCTCCTTTTTTTTCAATGGTTAAAGACTGGGTTGCAGAATTTAAGCATGATCATGTGAACACAACTGGACGGCAAAGTGAATGTCCAAAAACAGTACTACTCTGGATATGATAGAAAAAATTCATCATATAGTATTGGATGATCATTGAGTAAAAGTGTGAGAGATAGCAAACATAGTAGGCATCTCAAATGATACAGTGTATAGAATTTTGACACAACAATTGGAAATGAAAAACTCATTGCAAGATGGGTGCAATGTTTGCTCACAGTGAAACAAAAACTGAATCATGTAATTGTTTCTTGTGACATTTTGGAATGTTTTGTGTGTTGTGATGTTCATGTTTTGTGTGTGTTTTGATTTTCTTGAAAATGTTTTTGAGTTGTTTCTTTAATTTGGGTGTTATGTTGTTTTTAGTGTATTGTGTCAGCCTGCCTAATTGCTGTCTAATGTCATTTATTTGTGTTTCTATTCTTCTCTGCCAGGCAGGCTTGTGATAGAATTGTGTTTTGTGTGTGTATCTGTCTGCGATTGTATTTTCAGTCCATGGTGTGTTACTACTGTGACTGTCCCAGCATAAACTAATGTATGAATGTCTGAGAGTGTAGAAATTGAATGAATGTAGTTTGGTAGTAAGTGAGTGTTTACATAATTTAATGTTTTTCCTACTACCTTTGACGTGTTGATTTTCGGTATTTGTGGTCTTTGTGTGGGATCTGTGCCTGTATATTTAGTGAATGTTTCCTGAAATATAAGTGAGAGAGTATTAACTAATTCTATGTCTACGTTATCAGTGATAGATGAGGACGTGCCTGTAGTATCATTAGTTGTAGTTGTTGTATGTGTGTTATTATCAATGCTTGTTGCTGGACTATCCTGACAGGTTACGTGATCTTCATTAATAGTGTTAAATGTTTCTGTCTGTTGATGTATTTGATCAGCAACCTGTTGTTTGATAAGTTCAAGTGTTAATATTTTATTGTTAATTGTCTACTTGGACTTTACTTATTAATAGGACTTTACATTGGTGTCTAAAGATCAGCACAGTACTGAGAGTTAGACAATTAACAATAAAATATTAAAATTTAAGGACAGTAAGGCTTTTACAAGTTCAAGTGTTGTTTGTGGAATAAGGTTGTTGTGTATAATTGTTCTTTCTTGATCAACAACTCTATTTGGTGACAATGAGGTGAGGATATTGTTGTGTGAATCTATGGTGTAGTTGTCTGTATGCTGTCATGTTTGTTTCGAGTTTTGTGATGGTGTAGTACGTATGGATGATAAACTCGTTCATTTCTGTTGTCCATTTCATCCGTTGGCATGGTTTTCCAGCCTTTGTGGTCTGTGGATGCATTGCCACAGAAACACCAAGGCTAGGTTGATTCCTCACATCTGTTGAGGGCATTGCAGTAGCCATGCTTGGGCCAGCGCTGTTTTCGCCACCGGTAACCAAGGGAGACGAGGCCTATTTTTCGAACGTGAGCCTCTGCCTAACCCACGAACGTGGACCTTGTTAACCTGGGTGACGTNCAGTTGTGTGTTCCGTTGACAGCATAGCGAATGTCGTGCTGTCAACGGAACACACAACTGTCATGTTATTTCAGCACAGAGCATAGTTGGTATGTTATGCAAGTTTCTGTTCTCCTCCTCAATCCAGCCTGCATCAGCATTGTGTGTAACAGCATTGGACCAAAGAGAAGAGCAATAAGTTGTGAGTTGTTCTTCTGTTGTTGTGCCACTGTGCTGTGTATCAGTGTTTGTTTTGGTACTGATTTGTCTGTAGAAAAGTTTTTCATAGTTTGTGAATAATTTATTTTGTTGTTTTCGTAGTGTACATGTTTTGTATCGTTTGAGTCTATGTGCATTGGCTGTGAGTTTTTGTTTTAGTGTGTCGATGTATTCTGTAATGTGTGTGTTTTGATTTTCTTGAAAATTTGAGTTGTTTTCTTTAATTTGGGTGTTATGTTGTTTTTAGTGTATTGTGTCAGCCTGCCTAATTGCTGTCTAATGTCATTTGTATTTCTATTCTTCTCTGTCAAGCAGGCTTGTGATAGAATTGTGTTTTGTGTGTGTCTGTCTGTGATTGTATTTTAAATCCATGGTGTGTCACTACTGTGACTGCCCCAGCATAAACTAATGTAGGAATGTCTGTAAGTGTAGAAATTAAATGGATGTAGTATTGTAGTGAGTGTTTACATAATTTAGTGTTTTCAAACTACCTTTCATGTGTTGATTTTCAGTATTCGTGGTCTTTTTGTGGGATCTGTACCTGTATATTTAGTGAGTGTTTCCTGAAATATAAGTGAGAGTGTATTAACTAATTCTATGTCTATGTTATCAGTGATGGATGAGGAGGTACCTTTAGTGTCATTAGTTGTAGTTGTTGCTTGTGTGCTATTATTAATGCTTGTTGCTGGATTATCCTGACAGGTTACGTGATCTTCATTAATAATGTTAAATGTTTTTGTCTGTTGATGTATTTGATCAGCAACCGGTTGTTTAATAAGTTCAAGTGTTGTTTGTGGGATAAGGTTGTTGTGTATAATTGTTCTTTTTTGATCGACAACCCTTTGTCCGGTGACAGTGAGGTGAGGATATTGTTGTGTGTATCTACGCTGTAGTTGTTGTCTGTATGTTGTTATGTTTGTTTCGAGTTTTGTGATTGCGTGGTAAGTATGGATGATAAACTCATTCATTTCTATTGTCCATTTCATCTGTTGGCGTGGTTTTCCAGCCTTTGTGATCTGTGGATGCGTTGCCACAAACACGAAGGCTAGGTTGATTCCTCACATCTGTTGAGGGCATTGCAGTAGCCATGCTTGGGCCAGCGCTGCTTTCGCCACTGGTAACCAAGGGAGACTGCAGCTTATTTTTTGAATGTGAGCCTTTGGCTAACTCACGAATGCGGACCTTATTAANGTAGTTGATATTTATAATAAAGTAAATTAAAAGTTTTAATCTTCTATTTTTCTCAAAATTCCATTTGTTCCATCTAGAAAAATATGATCACCTAAGAAAAAAATCTGTTGTTTATTTTTTTCTTTTTAAATAAAAGCAATTCATTTAGTATCAGTTAAACATAAAAGTTACTCAATATGTAATTGGTTCAAACATTTTCTAGGAATTTATCACATCCACAAACTCCATGTTTGCAGTGGGAGTGTTGGTGAATGAGGAGGAGGAAAGCAATGAATGAAGGTAATGGTGGCAAGGACTGTGGATAATGAAGCATAGTTAATGAAAAGAACACAGGAAAAAATGTTTTTTAATACAAAAATAGTCAAAACAGTGGAAAAATTGAAAAACTGTGAGAAAATAACAAAAAACTGCTTGTGACTTGTTTAGCTTGTATAAAAGAAAACCCATTGAAGAAGAAACTATTGTAATTTCCAAAATGTATTTAGGTGAAATAAAGTTGTTGATTGGATAGCATTTTTGGAGTCTGTGGATGTGATAATTCCTAGAAAATAATGATATTTGAACCGATTACATATTGAGATTTAAAAAAACAGAATAGAAAGCAAAAGAGATAAGTTACTTAAAATTATTAAAATAATTTTTAAAATATTCTATCTTAAAATGTCGTTTAAGTTTTCTATTACCATATTATCATGCAAATAATCTGCAGGTTAGGTGTTTAAAAGACAATTTGAAAATTGGTATGGATTAGGTAATGGGATAGGTTATACATCAATTTTAAATTTCTATCACAAAATTGCACCTATGAAGCAGTGGCTTTTCTCAAAAGAATGGGGGGATAAATGGGATGGGTTATACAAAGGTTTTATTTTGGTCTAGCAATTTTCTGCACAAAATACAGTAAACACAAAATCACATATAATCAATACATACTGGAAGTAGAATAAGTTGAAAAATAAACTACACCGATATAAATCTAGCAACATTTAATAAAATAAAAACGTTTTCAATCGTTTTTCAACGATCATCATCAGTTACTAAAAATAGAACATTAAATATAGAACACAAAATGCGTTCGAAATAAATACAAAAATAAAAATTAACGGAAAACGCCCTAGTGGACGAACTAATGAAAAATTAACAAATAAATAGTGAAAAATTAATAATTGTAAAAGGATCTCCACGCAGTGGACAATGAGTCGGC